CACACATAAAAAAAAAAAATAAAAAAAAAAACATACAGACGAATTGAGTACCTCCTTCTTTTGGGAAGTCGGTCAAAAACTACGGCTAAAGTGTGCGTAGTAACTTTATTGGTAAGTGAACATTTTAGACTATAACGTAAATATGCTAATTTTAGACCAGTAAAAAATCTTTATCGACTATTTTTACGCTATCTAGAACTTAAATAGTCCAATGTAAAAACTCTTTGACCTCGGATAAAAAGAAATAAATAACACTTAACGAATCTATACATGTAATATAATTGGAGTGTCTGTTTGTATTATAAAAAGAAAAATTCAGATTTCTGGAAGATGATGTATTTGCGTTGCCGATAACGAAAATCGCATTAAAAAAATTTTTGTCTGTCTGTCCGTAAGCCGTTTGTTCCGGGAACCTCCGAAACGGTTGGGCCGATTTGGTTAGGACTTTCACTGAAGATTAACTGAGAGATGGGCATATTATAGGATTTTTTAATCTTAATATTGCTTGGACAAAATCACGGACAACAGCTTATATTTTATAATATGAGTCTGCGTATTTTTTTTAAGGTTGCAACATTTTGAAGGTCCTATTAATCCGGTGTGGTGACTCAAAAGCTAGGCAATACCAATGAGGTGATCATTTCTCATTATTTCGGACGCAGTCGTAATTTCACCTTCAACTTTATCTGATATTACTACTCTGAAATCATTCATTGACTCAATGAATGACCTTTAGTTTCACGTTACAAAGCATGCAATAGTAATTAAAATAACCGCCTGAGTATGTATCTATGACATTACGGGAATAAATACAAAGTGAATAAAAATCTACAAAACCTTTCATGCATTTGATATTACAAAAGTTTACATAAAAATAGCAAGATAACCAAAACCCGTCAGTCAGGAAAAAAATAAAACAGCACGTCCATTATCTATTTACAAACCTTAATCGATTCCAATAATTTAACTCGTCTAATCATAAAATTATCCCATATTTCTTATAAACGCGGTATCAGCAATAATCTTTATGTTCGGATAAATTTTATGGGGCTATTGAAAACTGGTCTTCCCTTCAGAGTGTAAGCTTTAAATAGCTCAGGAGCCATGGGATTAATTCGTTATTTACAAGGTACTGGCTAAAAATGTAAAACATGTTTAGAATAAAAAAAATGTCCAATGCATTCCATTTGATGAAATTAAACTACGTAACATTGTGTAAAGAATGTTGCAATAAGCAATACCATTAAGAAGCTCATTATTAAAATGCCAGAAGAAATCTGAAATAAATCACATATCCAAAATGTGACATTTCAGTAGTAAACATAAATAGCATTTGTGGAAATTTAACAAGTTAAAGTATCTATTAACTAAAGTATGACTAAAGCTGTTTCTATTTATACGCTATTTATTTACAGTCATGAATGTAAATATCCAAATGTTGGAGACAGTTAACTGTAGACTAACAAAGCGAAACAGACAAATACCGACCTTGACCTGTATACGCACGAGAGAAATCGTCATATGATTCATATCTTGAGATATATTTTGAATTAACTACTGATTTACATTTAAAGGCCGCAACTCAATGTCTTTTATAATCATTAAGTAAAATTTGAATAAAATGTTTCGTGTTTTGTATTCATT